CGCACGGATGCTTCCAGGATGTCGACTTTAGCTAGGAAAGACACCCATATTGTTGTGGTTCCACACTCGCGCGAACTGCACGAAAATCGATGCACATTTCTTTTATTAGCGGTGTGCTAGCCCGGACTCCGCCCAGGTCCGACCCGGGTTCAATTCAGGCTGCACGGGCTAGTCACTTCAGCTCAGAAATTTCAAAATTCAAAATTTAAATTTCAAATTTCTCATTTAATCTCCCCCATAAAGCTTTTCCAATTAAGTTGGCTGCCAAAAAGGAAAACATTCAATCTCCCGCCAATTGCTTCGCACAACGGCTATCGAACCGCTCCTTCGATTAAATTTGGCCCGGCTGCTATTCTAAAAAAGGAGAGAGCGCATTCTTCCTCGGCGAGGCTTCCTCCTCTGCCCATTCCCGAGCGCCTGGTCTTGCTTCTCCTCGATCTCGCTCGACAGAGACCCTGGCCTCACTACTCGCACTCGACTGAATACTCCCCGCTCGATCTCCTTCCCCTGTTGCTCGACCGAAGATCGGTACTCTCCACACCGAAAGCCTTCGCTCTTCTTCCTTACGTAGGAGAAGCTTCATTCGATTCCATCGAAACCCTCGCCTGCCTCATCCTTCTGATTCGCCTCCTCCTTGCGGCATCGAAACTGCTCGATCCCATTCCATCTAAAACCTTCGCTCAACTCCCCCTTTCGCTGCCGAAAACCTCGCCTCATCCTCTCATCACGCCGAACAGCCGCCCGACCCGACCACTCCTCTGCGACCCCAAAGCTGCTCCTCCCCGATTCTTCTTTTCGTTCGTTCGCCCTGCCTCCTTCCCCACGCCGAAACTCTCTCTGCATTCGACTCCTTCCCTCTGCACTGCTCGCTCTCCAGAAACTCCTGCTCGCCTCCCTCACTCGACAGACTCCTCTTTGTATCGAAGCTTTCACCCGCTCGCCTCCTCTCTGCGCCGAGTCTGCTCACCTGCTTCTCTCTCCCCTGAACGAAACAGCTCTCCCGCATTCGGTCTCCCCCTCATCTGCTCAACTCCCTCTTCAGCGCATCGAAACCCTGCTCGCCTCTGCCCTTTTCTTCGCGACCAGACCCCGCTCAGCTTGCCATCTCACCAGACCAAACGGCTCCCTCTCGCTGGACTCCTATCTTTCTCTCGACCAGGATCACTCGGCTGACCCTCCCTCACTCGCATTGGAGGTAGGAGGAACACTGAACTTCTTCGAGCTTTTTAAACGTTTGGAGTACAAAACCTCAACAATTACAGTAATTGGGTAACGCAGTCTTGTTTTATTTCTATACTTGCTCATTTTATTTATACAATATAGGCCATACAAGAGTTAGGAAGATTTACGTACATACCCACTGAATTCACTTGTGGCTCCTTAGACCCATTACTGAAACTGGAAGATATTCTTTTTATGTTTGTGCTTTAAAATTAATATTTGAACATTTGAATTTCACTGTTACATTATTATCTCAACCCAAGAAATTATGAAGAATTGAATTGTGGCCTCATTATTGCCCAGCATGCTTCTTTCTACTAGAATCTTATCCATGAGAAATACATATTGATGAATGAGTGAAGGTTGAAGATCTGCACACAGGATTTAAATATTTCAATTACGAGAAGTTTATATACATATCATATAACCCTCATGTATTTACATATCCAGCAACCAAGTCTTAGAATCAGCTTGTATGTCAATCATATGTACTTGTATGCCTAATACCTAAGTTTTGTTTTACATACATGCCACTCAATTGCTATGTGCTTGCATATCTATCACATTGGCTTCAATTTTTACATGCATACCATACAATGCTTATATTCTCTGCATATGTGGAACCTAAGCTTTATAGTTACACCACTCTGATTTTTAATTCTACGTAAGTGGTACTTCTATTTCTTAACGTGAAATGTATCTTTTCAAGCTTAGGATTTATATGCTGTTTTGGAAATAATTTGGTCACCATTTTGGAGCAATTTCGAAACTATTTTGGGATGTTTTTGCTTGCTGATTTGGAGAGGCTTACACAATGTTTTGAGGCGAATTTAAGGTCTTATTTTTATGCATTGTTTTGGAGCCACTTTAGGTGCCAGTTTGAGCTGATTTTGGGCACTGTTTTGGAGCCACTATAGGTACTGGTTTGGACTGATTTTGATCGCTGTTTTGGAGTCACTTTATGTGTTGATTAGGGCTGATTTTGTGCACTGTCTTGGAACAAACTTAAGTACTCTTCTCGAGAGTATTTAATTACAGTTGTTGAAAGATTTTAAACGTTTTTAGGTTGATTCGCTTGCTCTTTTCTCTTTTGATTGGTTAGTTTTGAAAGTGGATCAACATTTTCTTTTCGTTTGTTTGGTATCTTTGTTAAATGATTAAGTAAAAAAAAAGAGATTTTCTGATTTAATTATTTGGAAGACATTTAGAAATTTGAGAATTAGTTGAAAAAAAAAACACTTAATTGGGGGTATAACACTTTAAATCACTTTAAATACAAGTTAAAGTGTAATCTTCCTAGATTTTAGGAGCACACCCTAGGTGAGAGTCCGTCCACCTAATTCTCAGCATAGATTTCCTAGATTTTAGGAGCATACCCTAGGTGAGCGTTCATCCACCTAATTTTCAAATAAATAATGAAACTTAACACTTGATCCTGATTGATACACTGATTAAGACACTAGACATAAGGATGCACCGAGACGTAGTTCATGCTTCTTTAATTAAATCAACAATGAAATTCTCACAATGACTTAACCTACAGTGAGACGCAGTGCACCGGGATTTGAATTTGGATATTACACTCAAATCCTCTTGACAATTGGGGAAATTTGTTAATGCGGCATATGGATCACCGGACTAGGATGAGTCTAGGGTCTAGGTGGCGAGGGCGATGACGACATTGCTTATGTGTGCTTAAACGAGGGATACAAAGTAAAATTATTAGAATAGTATCTCCTACCTTAAGGATCTTCAATAAGGGAGAGGAAAGAATCCATGATACTATTCGCCGACTCTTGATGGGATCGTTGCCCCCGACACTCTTAGGTTGTCAGT